GCTATTGTGAAGAGTGCTGCGATGAACACTGGGGAACAGGTATACCTTCGACTTGATGATTTCCATTCCCCTGGGTATATTCCCAGCAGTGGGATAGCTGGATCATATGGTAGATCTATCTGCAATTGTTTGAGGAACCTCCATACCATCTTCCATACAGGCTGCACTATTTTGCATTCCCACCAACAACGTAAGAGTTCCTTTTTCTCCGCAACCTCTCCAGCATTTATCATTCACAGTCTTTTGGATTTTAGCCATCCTAACTGGGATGAGATGGTATCTCAGTGTGGTTTTGATTTGCATTTCCCAAATGCTGGGTGATGTTGAACATTTTTTCATGTGTCTGTTGGCCATTCGTATATCTTCCTTTGAGAAATGCCTAACCTAACCCTAACTCTTGGAGTTGATAAGTGATTTCAGCAAAGTAGCAGGATACAAAATCAACACACAAAATTAACAGCATTTCTATTCTCCAATAGTGAACATGCAGAAAGAGAAATCAAGAAAGGTTGCTCATTTACAATAGCCACCAAAAAAATAAAATACGTAGGAATAGAGTTAACCAAAGATGTGAAAAATCTTTATAATGAGAACTACAAACCACTGCTGAGAGAACTTAAAGAGGACACAAGAAGACGGAAAGATATCCCATGCTCTTGGATTGGAAGAATCAACATTGTGAAAATATCCATAGTAACCAAAGTGATCTACAAATTCAATGCAATCCCCATCAAAATTCCAATGACATTTTTCTCAGAAACGGAAAAAACTATCCTGACATTTATACCAAATAACAAAAGACCACGCATAGCCAAAGCAATTCTGAGCAAAAAATAATAAGAATAAGAATAAGAAAGCTGGAGGCATAACACTACCTGACTTTATACTACAAAGCTATAATAACCAAAACAGCATGGTACTGGCATAAAAACAGACACACTGATCAATGGAATAGAATAGAGAATCCAGAAATCAACCCACACACCTACAGCCATCTGATCTTTGACAAAGGCACTAAGCCTACACACTGGGGAAGAGACTGTCTCTTCAGCAAATGGTGCTGGGTTAACTTGATATCAATATGCAGGAGAATGAAACTAGACCCATACCTCTCACTGTATACTAAAGTCAACTCAAAAAGGATTAATGAATTAAATATACACTCGGAAACAATAAAACTTCTTAAAGAAAACATAGGAGAAACACTTCAGGAAGTAGGACTGGACACAGACTTCATGAATATGACCCCAAAAGCACCGGCAACCAAAGGAAAAATAAACAAATAGGATTATATCAAACTAAAAAGCTTCTGCACAGCAAACGAAACAATTAACAGAGTTAAAAGTCAACCAACAGAGTGGGAGAAAATACTTGCAAAATATACATCCGACAAAGGATTAATATCCAGAATATACAAGGAACTGAAACAACTTTACAAAAGAAAAACAAGTAACCAAATTAAAAACTGGGCAAAAGAGCTAGATTTACCTTTTGAACGGTGTTTCGGAGACTTTTTTTTTTTTTTTTGGCAGCCAGCCCTGCAGGGATCGAGTGCTGGACCTTGGTGGTTCTAACCATGAGATTTAACCCAGCCAGCCCCCCATTTCCCATGATTACTTACCATTGTGGAAGGCCTCAGGCTCCATTGTAAACAGGCGTACAACACTTACTGATCACGACTCATGTGCACACAGCATTATACTAAGCAGAGGAGCAGAGGGTTCTGCCTCCTTTTATCGGTGCATAAACACGCAGTCGTGATTTGTCCTCCCAACTTTGCAGAAACGTGAGGCTCATCCACAGGGCTGAATCCGCGGCATTCCCTGGTACTTGCTGGAGCAATTTACAGGTTCTCTGTATTACACAGCCCCACTGAGGCATCTCTTGGGCCCTTCACCCTCCATCCCACACAAGACAATTTGGGGCGCCGGCCCTGCCTTCTGCAGGTGGCTGGATGACCTGAGCCACAGGAACCTTCTCAGAAGCTCCGGATGGAAGTGGGTACATGTGATCAAGGTCTTCTGCAGATTAGGGGGACTGTGAAGAGGTCCCAAGGTCCCGGGCGTGAAAGGAAACCCGCCGCCCCACCGGGCGCCCCACCCGCCCGCCACCCGCCCCGCGGCCCAACCCCCAGCCGCGTGGTGCCTCCTCCTGCAGCCCCACCTAGGCGCACCCCACTTCCCACCCCAGCTGCCCTGGCGCCTCTGACGCTCCTGCGCCAGCGAGGCTGACCGACCCCGCGCCCGGCCGCCCCGGCCAGCCCCAGGGGCCATTTGCCAATGAGTTCGTCCTGGATGCGCTGGACGCGGCTGGCCAGGGTGGGAAGAGGAGTCCGCAGCCCCCGATTAGCAGCTATCAGAGGAGGTGGCGGAGGTGTGACTCATTCTGGGGCAGCGTGGAGACTCCCCTTGGTTGCTCTGGGAGAGCCTGGCGGGCGGAGGGAGGGAGGGGGCAGAGTGGGGTGAAGAGATGTGGGGAGAGGGAGGGGGCGGAGTGGGGTGAGCAGAGGTGGGGGGGAGGGGAGGGTGAGACAGAGGGAGAGGAGGGGCCACCCGGAAACAGAGGGAAGGAGGTGGTGGTGGCATCTGGAGCGGTAGGGAAGGGTGTTGTGTGTTTTATTCATTCACTTAAGATTAGTATGTTTGTGTCTTCATGACACAATATATTAAGGCCTTCTTAATATATAAGAAGGTCTTTTATGTTTTTTCTAGAACCTTATGGGTTTAGATTTTATATAGAGTATGATTTAAATTATTTTTTGCATGTGGAATAACTTTCATTATTTCCATACTGTAGTTCTGTGGTACATTTTTTGGGGGGTGGGAAGACTTTTCATTAAAATTCAACATTTTTAATTTTAAAACAACCTCTTATTAGGCAAATTACTAAACCTAATAAGACTCATCAAAAAAAAAAAAAATTACCCTAACGGTTCTATATGAGTGCTGCACTTAAATAAGGGACAAAACAAACAGCATTTCTCAAAGGAAGCAATCTCCTGGAACAGCTTGTGGGCTCATCTTCCATGGGTCCTGGAAGGGGACGTGCTGATGACAAGAGCTATGGCACATGCAGGGAAACATGAGATCTGTCGGTTCCAACTGTCATTTTATTTACTGTAACAGTCCTTCCATCCAGAAGAAATCAGAAAATCAAGGGTGTTTTTATCTTATTTATTCCTTGGACACCATTTTTTTTGTTGTTATTGTTATGTTTTGTTTTGTTTCATTTTTTCATATCGCAATATTTTGACTACACATTTTAAATATTGCTTGCACTTTGTGTATACAGAAATTCAATTATTATTAAATATATATATATATATATATTTTTTTTAACTTTCCTTTTTGGTTTAAGAGTGTTTTCAACCATAAACTGCCAAATGAGGGATGGGGGAGGGGAGACCATAAAGTCTATAAATAGGCAACTTATTGAAATCAAACTAATTAAAGCTCCTATGAGATTTTTTTCACCAATCATATCAACATTTAAAAAAACAGGAACAAAAACTTGTAGTGCTATTGAACCTACAGAAAAAGAGGACTACTTATGTTGTTGAGAATGCGAATTGATCAACTTTTTAGAAAGTAATCGGTTACTTTTATTAAAATTATAATTAAATGTGTCTATGACTCAGTTATACCACTTTAAGAATTCTATGCTATAGAAAATAAAAACAATAAAAATTAAAAAATCAGTAAGCTCTATGTATAAGAATGATTGTAAAAATATTAGTAGTTGTGAGAATCATTTTAAACAATGTGAATATTCATCTAATAGGGAATAGTTTTAAAAAATCAGAATATAGCTATGAGTTGCTACAAAGAAATTAAAATGAATACATTGATTTATTTTAGTTAGACTTAGTGTTGCCTACCAAAAACTGTATATAGGGAAAGTATATTCCTAAGTAATGTAGGATTTGAGTACAGTCTTTTAAAAAAACAAAACTACAAAATCTCGAAAGACAAACTATTGAAAGCAAGTCACAAAATCCAGAAACAACAAGGAAAATACTGAACAATTTTTCTATGTAAAAATCAAAACTTCGGGCCGGCCCGGTGGCGCACTGTAGCTTGGGAGTGCGGCGGCGCTCCCGTGGAGGGTTCGGATCCCACATACAGACTGGTTCCCGCTCACTGGCTGAGCGAGGTGCGGGCGCGGCGCTGAGGGTTGTGATCCCGTTGCCGGTCCCGGTCCGGTACGGGCACGACACTGAGGGTTGCGATCCGTTGCCGGACACGAAAAAAGACAAAAAGAAAAAAAAAAAAATCAAAACTTCACTACAACAAAGAAAATATAAATAAAAAAGTCAAGGCACAGACCTTAAGAAAAACAATTTTGACACTTAAATGCAAATAATCAAATCACAAAATGACCTAGAAGCTGCTAAACACATCATTAAGAAAATCACGGAAGAAAAATACAAATGGCCAATAAGCATATGTAAATATGTACTATTATAATGTATCAAATAATATGATATTTAATCTAATACTATAATCATATACAATACCCATGTAAATATACCATAAATGATGTTAATGCCTAAAATTTAATTGTGGTAATTATTGCACAACTCTGTTATGGAATTGAACATTGTATGTGTGTGAATTTTATGGCATGTGAATTATATCTCAATAGCACTGTTACAAAACGAATGGATTGATATTCTAGTGTTAAATAAGGGATGGCTTTATTTAATACATAAACTAATAATTTCCATTAGATTCATTAACAAAAATGCAACAGAGATTTCTACATCTCACCCACACCCACCCATTAATTTTTTTTTTCTATTTTCCAAAGGTGGGAGTAAAAAAAATCACTGCTTTATAAATGAAGAGGTTTCTAGGCAAGACAGAATTGGGAGAGACCTTTCTCTCAAATGGAGTTTCTGGAAAATGCAGAAAGCAAGTTTAAGGGAAGGCAATCTCCCTGGAGAGCTATCAGAAAAAGAGACAATGCTCTTTGTTTATGTACACATACAGGGACATTTCTCTGGATTTTAAAATATTACCTCTTTATTGACAAAAAGGAATAATACAAAGGAAAAGTTCTGGTCTATAGTTATCCATTAGATAAAATCATCAACAAACAACTTTTGAAACAACAGCAACAAAAAGCCATAAACGTAAAACACAATAAAATTATTTTTTGATTAGTAAATACTCTCCGTGACTCAGTTAAGAGTTCAGCAAAATAGCCTTGGGTGAAGACCCCATAGCCGGGAGGATGAAGACCTCATAGCCGGGAGGATGGAGCTGATGTCCCCTTCAGTCCTCCAGGAGGGCTTCTCAGAATTGTTCTTCAGCTCCTACCTCAGGCCGGCGTCCCCTTCTGTTGTCAGCTTGGGCCTTTTTATTGCAATGAGCCAAATAAGCAGTAAGCCTTCCTGAGACATCCATGAGACTCTTCAGGATTATCTGAAACAAACAAATGTAAACAAAGTGTAATAAAACGAGGAAAATAGAAGTCTTATTCAACTGTCACTGTCTGTTCCTCGTGAATGTAGTACTGAGTACCATGGAGTGATCACAACCACTTCTAAGAGTTAGAAGAACCCCTGAGAACATAAACATAAATATTATTATATAAAGACAGACAGCTGTTGTATGACATTAAGTTCAATAAACAAAGTCAAAAAGGATAAATGATAAGTAGGAAACATTTGCATACTATATCACCAAGGTTTAATATACTCAATATACAAGTCTCTGAGATAGGAAAGCAAAGACTGCCCACGATCCCATGTTAGCATGCTGGAGAGATGAATAAACAGTTCAAAGGGAAAAAAAAATGGCAAGAGGATCTTCACCTCACCGAAAAAAGTTCACATAAAAATATTCTGAGATACCAGTCCTTATCTATGAGTGGCAGCAACACTCTGTTTAGGTTTGCCCATCTACACAGAAATCTACTGTTCGCTCCTCCAAGGAATCTGTGAATAAAAATTACTTCACAAGTTGATTTATAAGTGCAAAAAACCACCCACATATAACAATTTATGTTGTAATAAATTCAAATACTGTTAGTATGTAAACAGTATTTAAATTTTTTAAAAATGATTAGTATTTGCTGGCGTGCTATAATTCCTCCCTCAGAGATACTTCTTGTTAGAAGTTCCGGGTGTATATGTTTTATGATTCTTTTCTATGCTTAGCCAACACACAAACACACATACACACTTATTCATGTATTTTATTTTCCAGGTGACATTATAACGTACTATATTATTCTGTAAGTGTTTTTTCCATTTAAACATATCTTGAGCATTTTTCACACCCCAGAATAGAATTTGCTTGTGTTTTTCAACAGCTGCGTGATACTCATTGAACTTACTATAGTTTAAAACACTATGCCTATAGTGATGGAAATTTGTGTCGTGCTTATTATTTTAATTGAAGCCATGTGAAGAGAAAACTGTCATACATATACAATGGTCCTACTTTTACTAATATTTTTAAATAACGGGCACCTAGAAGTGAAATTTTTTACTCATTGTCCATGACACCTTTAATATGCTCACCTAAAGCTTTGGAGAGTGGTCATTTTCCCCACACCCTTATCAAGATGGGACATTATTCATACCAAACACTTTTTTTTTTTTAGGCCAATCTAAAAAGCATATAAGCATTTCTAAATGTTTTATTTTTATATTTTATTTTCTCTAATACTGTGTGTGTGTTTCCATTTCTGTGCCAGTGTTCAGACTATAAATAAAATCCTACTAACCACCAACCAGACACAACCCTGATAAATAGTTCTGCTGTAAAGTTTTTTCCAATCTCTTAAACACCACGAATCACGCTTTTCTTGGTATTCTATAACAGTGGTATAGATTTACCTCTAAAATACATTGTGAAGTTTTTTTGAGTATGAAGCTGATTTCCTGATTCCTTGCTTCTTAATGACTTGTGTTTCGAACATACTAGGTGCAAATTCTTGTTTAATTGAGTGACAATGCTAATATTATAGGCTTCTTCTAGCTCGACTGGTGCAAAGACTATATTGCCTGGGACTTAGACACTAGCAGCAGCTTTAGAAGACAAAGAATCCTTATTTTAAAATAAACATAAATGAATTACTTATTACTCACATGTACAATAGGAGTGGGTTTAGTTCACAGGAAAATTCCCAGGACAGTCAGAGTGGTCACAAAAAGACAATATCATTATTTGACAAAGTACAGATAGTGCCCTGCACATGTTATTGTCTTTTTATGACCATCCTGACCATCCTGGGAATTTTCCTGTTAACTAAATCCATTATTTGACAAAGTACATACAGTACCCTGCACATGTTATTTCAGGACAGTCACTGGCAGCCAAGCAATTTCTTATTCTATAGGTGAGCATATGAGTAAGTGTGACCACAAGTCCAAGATGCCAGAGATACCAGAGCCTGCTGCAAAAGAGGGAGCAGAATTTGAGTTTGGGGGGGTTTGTTTGTCTGTTTGTTTGTTTTTAATGAGAAGCTCATTCCAGTTAATCATAATTATCATCTTGCCTGCTTTCTTGACTAAGGACAAGGGTAAGTAGATAACCATAGCACAAAGTTAACAAAGCAAGGAATCTTTACTGGTGGGATTTTCTATTTTTACCCTGAAATATTATCACACTGTGGATTCCCAACTCCAGAAAATACTTTCTCCCCCAAATTAAGCTAAACTTTTCCATAACTTTTATTTTCTATCAAGATTTACTAAATGTACTTTTACTTGGTAGGATAAGCAATACTATTATTTATGTTACACCCTTTACAGAGCTGAGATTTTGTTTTTACTCTTCCATTAAGTCTTTGACAATTAAAGCAATTATTTTCAAAGCTGGGGGGGGTTGGAAACATGTACCCTCTGTTTTCCTACTCATGACATTATGTTTAAGTGAAAGAGTATTACGCAGAGATTCAAAATCAGCTGCGGGTGGAGGAAGACGGGAATCTCCATTCCAATGACCCTCTTACTAGTAGTAAGTAACATGTGTAAAGGACAGAGATACACTTCTCTCTGTATCTTCTCCACACTTGTTTTTCATTTGAAAATCATAATAAAAAGGCTACTCCCTAGGGATAATTAAGGATTAAATGTACATGGTCCATAAATCAATCAGTCAGATCTATACATAATAGTAATTCCCATATTTGAATACTTACTAGTGTGCTAATTTTCTTCTAAGCACTTTAACAATTTTATCTCATTTAATCCTTACAATAAATTCATAAGGTAGGTACTATTATTATCTTCATATTAAAGGAAGTCAAGGAGTTTGCTTATGATCTCAGTGCTATTGAGTAGCACAGGAAGGACCAAACTTGGCAGTCTGACTCCAAAATCTGCATTCTTCACCAACCTACCATGTATGAACATAATATTTCATAAGTAATATAGACTGTAATATGAGTGTGCACTCTGTATTCACACACTTTAGTGGGAACCAGGAATTGTGACTAACTGCAACTAAAATTGAGATGCGCTCTGGGTTGTATAAATAGGTTGGAAAAGATGCATTTTGCTGCATTATCGAAGTAAACAATTTATTTCTCACTCCAGCAGGCAAAATGTTTTTCAATTTTTATTTACCTGTTCACTGACTCCTATAGTAGGTGGCGAGCAGGAATACAACCACAAGTGGAGGCCCGAGGTAGCTAGCAATTAATGCTATGAAATGGAACAGTAGACCTTGTGGAGATACCTGTGCTGATGGGACCCTCATAAAGCTGATGAGAGTTATTAGGATGATCAATAACCCATGAAAGCAAAAAAAGATTTAAATATTAAATAAAGCATTGTTGAAATCTCCATTATAATGTAAATTAGTACATCCATTGTGGAAAACAGTATGGAGGTTCCTCATAAAACTAAGAATAGAACTACTATTTGATCCAGCGATCCCACCCGAAGAGGTATCTGTAACCTCATGTTTATTGCAACACTATTCACAACAGCCAGGATATGGAGTCAGTGCAGGTGTCCATCCACAGGTGATTGGATAAAGAAAATGTGTTATATATACACAATGGAATACTACTCAGCCATAAGAAAGAAACAAAATCCTGTCATTTGTGGTAACATGAAAGAGCCTGGGAGACACTATGTTAAGTGAAATAAGCCAGGCCCCAAAAGATAAATATCGCATGTTCTCACTCATGTGTGGGAAGTAAAAAACAGCTGAACTCATAGAAGCAGAGAGATGAATTGTAGTAACTAAAGGTTGGGAAGGATAGTAGGCAGGAAGATATGGAGAGAATATTTAATGGATTAAAAAATTACAGCTAAAGAGGAAAAATAAGTTCTAGTGGTCTACAGTAGTGCTAGGTGTCTATAATTAACACTAATTTATTGTAAGTTTTTAAATGGCTGTAAAAGAGGAGCTCAAATGGTCTCATCACAAAGAAATGACATATTTTTGCAAAGATGGATATGCTAGTTACCCTGATTTGATTATCACATATTGTATACAGGTATCGAAATATGACTAGACTCCATAAATATGTCCAATTATTACATCAATTAAAATATTAAGGAATGAAACAAAAATATCAGTGAAAATAACAATAGCAGTGACGATCTCCATTGTACTTTAATTCTTCAACTCATTCTTGTGGTCACTCATTGCTTTTAACAAAAAAAGTCAACCTACTTGCCCTCACATGAACCTATGACATGCTGAATGATTATAAGTTTGCTAAATGCAAATTAAATAATTATTTGCCTGTTATTAGCCACAATATTTCATCTGCATGATACAAAAACCATTTACAAAGACAGGTAAAATGTGAGCAATTGTATTATCTAATACAATGTGCATGACATATCAATGAGAAGTAAATACCACATCATTTTTATTCATAATTATTTGTATGATAATGAAAACAGACTCCCATTCTTGGATTTTCCTCAGTTTGCACACATTAGTATTATACCAGCCTCTATTCAAAAATGGTAATTGACAGACAATACTAATTTGTGCATTTTACTACTTGAGTACTTTGAGAGGTAGAAAGAATTAGTTAATATGTCCGTAAGTGGTGAAAACCTGTTAGATACTCTTGGAGTCCAGAAAGCATGATTTATTCACCTTTCTAAGTACCAGTTTACTGTTTGAATAAGCAAGGTCATATGGTTTAGTGGTCTATCTATAAAAGATTATTATTTCAATGAGCTCACCTGAAAAAGCAATGTAATAGTTGGGAAAATTAGGGGACAGGTACTTAGGCAAGAAATTGAACGAGTGTCTCATTTAAACTTTACAAAACTTTTACAACCTTTAAATAACTAATTGTGATAAACAATAGATATTATCAGCACAATGCCAAGAATAAGGATTCTATAAAAAACAACTACTCTCTTTACTGTTATCATCATCAAAAATCCTGCAACGCTGAGGCTCCTGGCTCTCTTCAGTTTTTTTCTACCACATGTAGAATAAAATCTAATGTCTTGTTATGGCTTAAATGGCCCTGCATATCCCCGCTTCTAGCCACCTTCCAGACCTTGTTTCTTGTCACTCTCCCACTTGCTCCTCATGCACCAACCTCACTCTGGTTGTGAGATTCATCCATGCTGTTGTGACTGTAGTTCATTCCGTATCTTGCTCTACCGTATTCCACTGCTAATATATTGCAATTGATCCAATGTACTATTGATGGATATCTGGGTATTTTTGCTCTCGGGGCTCTCTGGTTTGATATAACTCTAACTAGCCTCTTGGAATTAGTCTCATCTGACCCTGTTATTTTCTATTATGTACAAATCCTTAATGAACACACGGTATAGATGTAGTAATATGCAGATTGCTTAATCTGAAACCTCAATGCATTATCCCATCAGAGTAGGTGGGAATTTTATATTCTATGGAGACACTGACAGACTTTCATGAAGATGTTGTTTAGGTGGAGAGTATGAGGAGAGAAAGAAGTAAGAGACATCAGGGGCATTAGTAATCATGAAGAAAAAACTGCTCTTTAAAGGTATGAAGAGAATTTTTGTATCTTGAAAAAGATAAAGTTGACAAACCTCCCCACTGTCTTTCTCCCACTTTAGATCTCTATGGTTAATTTCATTGAAATTGAACTGACGGGGCTCGAGTTCACATCAATGTTTGCACTCTTGTACAGAAATTTTTGAAAGAAGCCAAGATTGTCTTACCATCCATTTGTAAGGAGCTCTCTCTCTCTCTCTCTAATGCCTTCTCCTGGGAATTGATGGAGATACACTTGGTGAAGAGGATGCTGGTCAGGAAAAAAAAATCATAAAGGTAGTCAGGGAGCTAATACAAAGAGCCAAATGATGGAGGAATGATGGCTGGTTTATATTATCATGATACCCTTGCCAAACTTGAGTGTCCTCCAAAGATAAAAGTGTCATCTGAAAAACTAACCCACTTATGGCCTATTAACACACATTATCTTATGGAATTTCTTGCATATTACTTGCTTATCTGAGAATAATCCAGTCTAGAAACTGAGTTCTAAATATTAACTTAGAGATTATCTACTGTAAGCTAATTTTGAAAGAGAGAAAATAGCACAGAACTATCTTCCTTTTGGGAAGGAATTCTTGAATTTCTGAAAAATTAGAGAACTGGGAAAGAAGAAGGCTTGTCCCAGAGTTTGTGAATTGGGTGAGGAGTGAAAGCTGGAAATGTTCTGAAGGTCATGCTTCCTTTTTTCTTTTCAGAAAACTGGAGGTTTTGCAGTGAGCCTAGAGTAAATAATCTTTTTTTTATCCATCCCAGGGAGTGCCCTTTAAAACAGGAGTGAAAAGTGAGGAACGAACACTAAAGTGCTGCAACAATTCCAAAAAGTTTAGATAGAGAGATGATCTATTACTCCTATGCTCCAGGGCACACACTAGGAGAACTTCGTCTGCAGGAAGTATGTGCCTTTGAGAGACTCTTGTCCTGCAGGATTCCCTTCAGCACAGGTCAACACAAAAACCCAACCCAAAATCTCTTGTGCACAATTCCCAAGGAGTGCTAACTAATCAAAACCAAAGGCTTTGATGTTTGGCAGTACCAGAGACAGAAAAGGACAGAAGAGGGAAAGGTCATTTTTAAATAACAATGCAAAAATAGATGGTCACAAACATAGCACACTCGAAGCCTATAAACAGTACTTCCTACAATTACGCCATTTAGCTATGAAAAGAGCAAAACAAGCCTCAGCACATATTTTCTTTTTCTAATTCTCTACTCCCCTCCCTCAGCCCCCCAAGCAACAGGTATAACCTGAAGACACCTAGGAATTCTCCCTCATGGTATCTCTTACCTGGAATGTTGTTACCTACCTGGAACGTCTTCCTCATCGTCAGTAACGTTCTCCAGAATCCACTCTTTAGAAACACAAACATCGGCAAGAAAGTTGATAGAGAGAGCAGCTCACCCACTCCTCCTCCACCAGCTGAGGCCAGACTAGCCCACGCAAGATCATCCTGCTTTTTCCTCTGGTTTACACTTTCCCAGAGCCTGGCTGGCCATAGTTCTAGACTTGTAAAACTCACTTTGTCTCTCCCCACCCCCAATCCTCCTTCTCAACAGGAACCCAGAACCAGGGTTCTAGAGACTAAAGCAAGCAAGGTTTTTCTTCAGCAAGGGAATTGTTTCAGGATACATACCATTATCATTTTTAGTTGATGGCATCTGCAATTATTTAAGAGAAAATACTATGAGAATCAGATATGCCGTGATTTTTAGTTATGTCTATTGTTCTCTTAATGACTTTAGAAAATCAGATGGGACCAGTGATTCAAAGGTCAACTACCCCAGAAGCTAGTGCAGAGGACACTTTTGGAAAAGGCAAGAGCTTTTCTCACATGACGTACCTTTAAAGTCCACTTAGACTGGAAATTACACAATCCTTAATCCAAGGAGGAAAATGAGCTGAATTAAAAAGCCTCTTACCACACAGTTTATAATGAATGTTGTCAATTAAAAGTGTCCTAGTGTGTCAAGTACCAGCTGATAAGAGTCCCCTACTCAATGCCATTTCCACCAAGGAAATTGTATATGTCTCACACAATATAAATTGTCAAATTATTATATCTAAATTTGATTGGAAATGAAAGAAATCAGGAAAGCAACATTTCTATATAAGAAAAAGAAAATTAGACTTACATTCAAAGTATCTGGGTCCTCTTCATGGACATCTACAATGTGTAATGGATCTTCAAGTACACAGCATGGGGTAGCTAGGAGGACACAGAGTAACCTTCAGCACATTGGTGGCTGGTGGCTATGAATTGTCTGAAGAGCGTTGCTTATAAACAGTACTTCCTACAATTATGCCATTTAGCTATGAAAAGAGCAAAACAAGCCTCAGCACATATTTTCTTTTTCTAATTCTCTACTCCCCTCCCTCAGCCCCCCAAGCAACAGGTATAACCTGAAGACACCTAGGAATTCTCCCTCATGGTATCTCTTACCTGGAATGTTGTTACCTACCTGGAACGTCTTCCTCATCGTCAGTAACGTTCTCCAGAATCCACTCTTTAGAAACACAAACATCGGCAAGAAAGTTGATAGAGAGAGCAGCTCACCCACTCCTCCTCCACCAGCTGAGGCCAGACTGGCCCATGCAAGATCATCCTGCTTTTTCCTCTGGTTTACACTTTCCCAGAGCCTGGCTGGCCATAGTTCTAGACTTGTAAAACTCACTTTGTCTCTCCCCACCCCCAATCCTCCTTCTCAACAGGAACCCAGAACCAGGGTTCTAGAGACTAAAGCAAGCAAGGTTTTTCTTCAGCAAGGGAATTGTTTCAGGATACATACCATTATCATTTTTAGTTGATGGCATCTGCAATTATTTAAGAGAAAATACTATGAGAATCAGATATGCCGTGATTTTTAGTTATGTCTATTGTTCTCTTAATGACTTTAGAAAATCAGATGGGACCAGTGATTCAAAGGTCAACTACCCCAGAAGCTAGTGCAGAGGACACTTTTGGAAAAGGCAAGAGCTTTTCTCACATGACGTACCTTTAAAGTCTACTTAGACTGGAAATTACACAATCCTTAATCCAAGGAGGAAAATGAGCTGAATTAAAAAGCCTCTTACCACACAGTTTATAATGAATGTTGTCAATTAAAAGTGTCCTAGTGTGTCAAGTACCAGCTGATAAGAGTCCCCTACTCAATGCCATTTCCACCAAGGAAATTGTATATGTCTCACACAATATAAATTGTCAAATTATTATATCTAAATTTGATTGGAAATGAAAGAAATCAGGAAAGCAACATTTCTATATAAGAAAAAGAAAATTAGACTTACATTCAAAGTATCTGGGTCCTCTTCATGGACATCTACAATGTGTAATGGATCTTCAAGTACACAGCATGGGGTAGCTAGGAGGACACAGAGTAACCTTCAGCACATTGGTGGCTGGTGGCTATGAATTGTCTGAAGAGCGTTGCTTGGTGTAGAGAAGGGCTAGAATGTGTGGATGTGGTGGGTTAAGCAGCAGGGATTGATCTGCTGCTGGGCTGTCCTCCCAGGTGGAAGAAGGATGGCAAAGGAGAGGAGCAGGAAAGAAATGAGACACAGAGGCCCTGTTCTTGTACTAAAGGCATCATAAAGCAACATTGATGGAGATTGGATGTGTTGTCCCCTCCAAAACTCATGTGGAAATTTGATCCCCAATGTGGCAGTGTTGGAAATGGATTGAGTCATGGTGGTGGATCCCTCATGAATGGATTAATGCTCTCCCTGGGGGAGGAGGGGTAGTGAGTGAGATCTCCTCCTTTAGTTCCCGCAAGACCTGATTGTTTAAAAATCCTGGCACCTTCTCTCTCTCTTGCTTCTTCTCGCCATGTGATCTGCTTGTACCCACTGGCTGCCTGCCGCTTTCTGCTATGAGTAGAAGCAGCCTGAGGCTCATGCCAGATGCAGCTGTCCCAGAATTGTAAGCCAAATAAACCTCATTCCTTTATAAATTACCCAGTCTCAGGTATTTCTATTATAGCAGCACAAAACGGATTAAAACAAACATGAAATTGTCAACCTAAAATGGTACTAGCATTCACACTAATTTTCAATGGCAGAGTCTCATCATTCTTCCCACTTGTTTTGAAACTCATCTAGAAAGTCGGCCCACATACTTACAGCCAACTAATCTTCAGTAGAGGGGCAAAGAACATACACTGGGGAAAGAACAGCCTTGCTATTGAAATAGAGCTCCCTATACCCTCATAACATACGCTATCTGCTTCTGTAGATTGCTTGCTTAACCTACATAGCTCTATTTTGCCCCCTGTCTGACTTGCAGACTACCCCCCTTGTGCATCAGAAACCGTTGACCTTCCCATAGAAAAAAAACACAATTGCATAGAAACAGGAACCATACACAGTGAATTATTACATGGGAACAGGAACCATACACAATGAAAA